TTTATCTTTAATTGAGCAGTTGTTGTAATTGCATCTTGTGACATATTAACATTAAAAATGAGAGTCTGAGGGTTTTTATTTATTTACTGTAACGTGTTGGTAGATACAGTACATTCCATATCAGCTTCATTAAATAATATCTTAATTGTCCTTCATGAGAGTACTTCAGTGTGGCGTTTATTTATGATGTCATTCAGTGCTGATGTGTCTTTTATTTTTAATGAAGACAATTTTCACTACAACATGGAATTACCGTGTATCCATAAAATTACAATAAACACAATACAATCCAGTGTTTATTGGATCAATTTATTTAAAACCATGATTATGGTATGAATCCTTTAACACATTAAGCTCATGTGTCAGATCAACAAACGTGACGAAGCAACAGAAATGTACAGAACGACTGGAGCCTGAGCATTTACACACACAAGACACAATGAGTGTGTTCCTCCCTGAATCAGCACATGATCACGGGTGTATGATGTAAAATAATGAAGCAGAGCAGGAGCACGTGTTTTTACATTGCAGATGGTACATGTATTTATGCAGCATGTGTGTGTAGTAGAAATGTGCTCTGGCCCAGTGATGTGGCCTTTCAGCATAAATCATGATAAATTTAATTTTAGATTTTTAATTGCATACCTTAACGACTGATCTCACACTCACACTGCTCTCACAACAGAATGAAAGGTTGATTTTGGAATCGTGTGTGATGTTGGAGGGTAAAAGATTTAATGTAAAATTAAAAGTAAAATTCCTGTGGTTTCTGAACTTTTTGGTGAATTAAAAATGTAGAAATAACTGAAATAAATCCACCATTGTTGTTCTTGTATTTCTTTGTATATATATATATATATATGTGTGTGTGTGTGTGTGTGTGTGTGTGTGTGTGTGTGTGTGTGTGTGTGTGTGTGTGCATGCAGGCCTCATCTCCCCAGCTCCCCCTGAACTTGGTAGCCCTCCAGACACCTCACAAAAAGTGTAGGCTCAGACCAGAGCGCACACAGAGGAGCAAGTTGAGGGTGATGGGGGTGGAGTCAGGACACAGATAGGGGATGGGTGGGGGCCCAAGGGGTGGTGGGGGCCGGCTGCATTGAAATGTCCGAGAACTTGGAGCCTATAGTTTGTCATGCTAACTGCGGCGATGCCATTGAATGTGGACACAGGGAGCAGAAGGTTCACAGGACCCCGGCCATTCTCATGCAAAACATACATGTTTACAAATGGCGGTTGGGTCCCCCCTTTCCTTAATGCACGCTGTGTGTGCAGAAATGTGAAGTTGCATGGAGGAAAAATTGAAAAAAATACTCTAAGAATACACGAAACACACCGACTCACTGATATCAAAATAACAATGTTGTCTTTTATTTGTCAGATGAAAATCAAAGTTATATTCTAAACGTGAAGCAACATGAAGTAACACCTGGTCAGAAATCTGAAAATACAGTGCATGCATTTCAGAGAGAAGCAGAAAATCAAGGCAGATGCATTTTAATCATCATTATTGTTAACTGTGAGAAAGGAACGCACAGTAACTCCCATTAACACCCATCTTTAACTCCATATGACCTTCACACGCTATGGCATGAAAATAACCTGAATGAAAAAAACAATTGTTTTGCATGTTCCAGCAAAAAATCTATTATAGTAGTGAAATTGCATGTTGCATCTGAACACCCATCACCACACCCCCCACTTCCAAACATTAAAGAGAACCTTCAGTTGTCAAAAGGTGTTTAGTTTGTCCAGTTTGGGCTACTGTAAAAAACATAGCGGCCTCTGTAGAGAGGACCTGCTCCTGAAAGTTTTTAAATATAAAGGGCCCATTCTCGGGTATAAAGAAAAACACAATTGGTACAATTTAGATGAAAAACACTAGTGAAAACATCACTAGGATTATTTTATATTCAATTTCTGCCAATAGATCCTTTTCATTTACATTTTACCCACTGGATCTTTATGTTTCCATTTTGGCAACAGCCGGACCTGCTGCTGTGGTCTCCACTGCTCAGCCCTCATCCGTGTCACCTGATCGGCACATTCAAGCAGAAGTCCCTCAGTGTCAGATCTGCTCAAATGCCAGGTGGTGAAAATGTCAGCTGCAGCACGAGCACGTGCACCTTTACATTTACTCTCTATAAATGCAAACACTCCATGCAAATGAATGTGTAACCCCCCCCACCCCCCCACCCCTCACCTCCACTGAGGAGAGGTAGCACATACTGCATATGTGTGTGTGTGTTCAGATTTATGTGCTCAGATTTATGCGTATACTATACTTTCACAACCAGGCGTTCAAGGAGTCTCCATTTGTGTGTGTGTGTGTGTGTGTGTGTATGCGCATGTGTGTGTTTGTGCCCCCTCATCTGCACTTGGAGCAGCCATTTGGAGCCTGCATTTGATTGAGTGAAGGCCAACGCAGCCTGAACACTCCCTCTAATGGAAGAGCGGAGCCCAGCAGCTCAGTAATGCACTGACCCCCAGAGCTTTTACAACGCTGCCAGCCGATAAGTGGCAATATGCTGGATCTTATAAAATTAACAAGACTCAGCTACGGGGGAGAGAAAGGGGTGGCGACAGGAGAGGATGACGTCCCTATAGCACCTGTAAATATCCTGCATGCGTGTGATATTACTGCTGCTCTTCAGTGGGTTTTATAGTCACGGCAGCGTAGATTTGATATTTTCTCACTGATTTCTTGGCTTGTTTAAGGGCTGGTTTACAGGGGAAACCTTTACAGGCCCGTTTCTGTTGGATAAAATGTCTCTCAGGGCGTTTTGAATGCTGCTGAATTTATGACAGCGACTGTGAGGGGCCAGGTGCTGCAGGAGCTGACTCTAATGCAGGCCTCTGGACCAATTTCTGGGTTTCAGTATGAAACCACAAAAGGGAACATGTGTGTGTACCATACGTTCCCTCCTGCACCTCCTGTACTGTGACATCTACCGTAAAGCTCAAAGTTAAACAGCCCCTATGCCTGGTTATGCACCATCTATTGTGTTTTGGGGAGAGATGGCCTCATCTAACCAGAGCAGAGTGTTTTTTTTACGCACTCTGAAATACATGCACAACGATATTACAGCCGCAGTCACTGTCTCAATGCATCCAAACCTGATTTAGCACAGAACGAGGCTTTATTCCTGTGTGTCTCCCAGTTTAACCTCCTCACCTTTCTCACACAGGGATTTGTGTGCATGCGAAGGGCGGAATTGTGTGCATTTTCGGCCATACACTATACGTCTGTATGTGTGTGCGAGCAGCTATTGTCTGCCCGCACTCCAGCAGGGGCTTCAAAGTGAATTATTCATGCAAGATTTGAATACATGCAAATGGTTCACCACCCCTCCCCTGGCACAGATCCAGGTTACCTATGGCAACGCCGCCTTCAAGAAGCATCTTTCCATCGCTCCTCCTCCTCCTGCTTCTTCTCTCAGGCACCCGCCCTCCAACCATGTAATCCACCCAGTGGTATTGTTGCGATTGTTGCAATACCAGGCTGGGTGGCTGCACACTGTAGGGTGGCAGGATATCCCATAATTCACAGTCAAGGTCATTTGTAGGCAGGGGTGATGAGAGACGCAGGGATGCACAGATGGACGGAGGGAAGGTTCCCTCCATACAGCCACTCGTATGTGAAGTTCAGGAGACGACATAGTGAGGAAGATGAAGAGGTTTCAGGTGGTGAATGGTATTATCACCAGTGCAACACACTGGGCACACGCCACTCACAGTTTGTCACAGCTCATGCACACAGCAGCACACAGCAAAACAGAATGAGTACAGAAAAAAATTACCCATATATACTTTTATATATTTCATTTCTTTTTACCATACTCTTCTTATTTTAACAGATTTGAAACAGAAAATATTGAGAAGTTAAAAAATATTCTCAACTATATACATATATATATATATTGATCTGTGCTAGTCAGATTTAGGTCACATTTATTTTATGGAATTATAAACCATGCAATCTAAATCCTGTATGTTCTGTATATATGTAGTGTGCAATAGAAAATTTCTGAATGAAAAAAAATATAGAAATATATATATATATATATTCCGTTTTTTATGTTTATCTACAACACAATGGCAACTATATGTTTGTTGCATATAAGAGTTTAATAAGAGTTCAAATATTTTTTTCAAAACAGTACTTAAAAGAGGAGTATGATTTAATTCTTTAAAAAAAAAATTTGCTAAATTATTGTTTTTCTTTAAACTGCACTTCCATCATCATTTTCTTATCATAATACCTGTGTTATAAAATATAATAAAAACAAAACACATAAATCAATATTCACTATATATTAGTGAGACTTTTGTTCAGCATTAAAGATTAGATTAAAATCACTATTTGCAATATTGAAAAATGAGCAGTTTTTCATTTACACAGGACGCTTGAATGAAAATGCAGGAGTGAAATGAGAGTAAGTGTCTCAGTGAGCAGAGGGCAGGTCAAGTTCAGGCCATGAGGTGATCAGAGTCTAACTAACATCCATTAAGGTCCAACACACAGAGAGAACAACAGCCACTCAATGCTGCCATCTCCTGCCATCACATTAAAGGGTTCGGTGTGTAGAAGTGAGTGGTGAATTTGCATCTTTCAGCTGACACCCCCCTCGAAACATAAAAAAACTTGTGGTAGCCTTCAATTTTTATGAAAACTCAAAAGGTGTTTGGTTTGTCCAGTCTGGACTACTGTAAAAAACATGGCAGCCTCTGTAGAGACGACCCCCTCCTCATGTAAATATAAAGTATCTAAATATAAAGGTGCAATTCTAAAGTAAAGACAACAACAATTTGGACAATTTAGATGAAACACACCAGTGAGAACATTGCTAGTATTATTTTATATTAAATTTCTGCCAATAGATCCCTTTCACCTAAATCTTACACACTGGTCTTTTAAGACCACTATAATGTCATTAATGATGTGAATACTTCTGCTTATCCCACGGCTCCCCCAAGTGGACAAAAGGACTCATTGCTCAGTGTTGTGGATGGACACTTTATTGCACGTCATTTAAGCTTGAGACAATTGTAAACTTGCATCTGTAGAAATACTTTGAGTACATTAGTAGTGATAGTATGATTAACCATTACATAACATGAGATTTATGACTGAGTCATGTGCTTTGGTATATTTAGTTGCTTTAGGTAAATAGTGCCTAAGAACAATCCAGTTAAAGCAATGATGACTATGCACAATAGTGTAAGAACAGCACAAAAAGCAAATCTTGATATTATTTATATAAATCGATTTCTGTGATATATAGATTTACTTTTCATATTCGATAAATCTCCATTGAATAGACTTTATAATACTTTACCACATCAAGTGCTGGATGGACAGTGAAACTGTGCAGTCTTGCTGACATGATCACCCTCCTACAATCATTTGTTCCATTAATCAAATCCACATAGGCACAATCATAAAATTTGAAAACAACAAAACATTGTATAATCCCCCTTTTGATACCAGGCACATATCATACAAATTGGAAGAAAAAAAACAAAATAAAAAAAATTCAATATGATAAAAATAATCATTTCAGAGCAACAGAACTGATTAAAAACAGCATTCTCTCAGTTGATAGATTAGGTTGAAAGAACATTGTGGGTCTTATAAAGTGCAAGCGTAACTTATTATTGCAACACAAACAGTGCTCCTCATTAATCCATCTTAAACAGTCGTTATCCACTGGTAATCACTTTAGTAACCTCCATGGTACCACAATTTAAAACAAAGTTGTGATTATGTGAATGAATATATGACGACGCTCCCTCACTCAGCTGATGTGTGTTTATCAAAGCTTGAGATGCCGTGTTTCTGTGCGCACTAGATCTCAAACCCACACTCCTCAAACCTCCTGTGTGAAGCGGACAGGAGTGTGCAGCAGGACGGCCCTGCACTGACTGCAGACACTTCTTATTGCCATGTGACAACCTCCGTCATGCCAGTCTCATCTGTGCTTGTTGCTTCCCCTCAGTCACTGCCAACTAATTCAGTGGGTGAAGTAGCCCGTCTGATGTAATTTGAGCAGAAGGCTGTGTGTGATGTCAAATGTGGTGAAGCTGATCCCCACAGCAATGGGCCCTTTAAGCCAGTTCATGCTTAGGCCTTTGTATAGTCCATGAATAACTCCCTCCTGTGTTATGATTGCACGCATGGTCCCCAGAATTGTACTGTAGGATGAGCCGGTAACGCCGGCTGTCTGCATGCGCCTACGCACCACGTCCAGAGGGTACGAGGCAGACTGTCCAATCAGGCCTGCGCAGGCACCAAAGGCCAAGCGCTCATAAGGGTAAGGTTGGGATCGCTTCGTTTTTTCTACAGAGAAGGAAAATCAAATGAATGAGCTGGACACACTCAGCTAAATATTAATGATTTCACTTAATGAACACAATGCAGACATGGAGAAAATAGTCCTGTTCATTACCTGTGTGCAGCTTCTTGAGTGTCTCATATGTAAAGAATGTGATCCCTGCGTATGGGATGACACCCAGAATAGTGGGGGTGAAACCTCTGTAAAGGGTCTTCACACCTTCCTCTTGGGAAATGCGCACAAAAACGTGCATGATGTTGCAGTACCTGTTCAGACAAATATATTATAACAACTGTTTAATATGATTTTCATTTGGAAATACAAAAAAAACAAACTGCAATGCAGATCCTACAATTTAGGCTGACCTGAGTACAATCACAGCTAATAGATGCTAAAGCTAATTTTCCCTACTTTTTTCCAACAGTAATTGAAAAATATATTTTTGTTGTACCAACATTTTAGTAACCGAGTCCGTTGGACCCAATAAATACGCCTGTACCAAAATATGGTTCAGCACAAACACAAGAGTATCTACGATGGGGAGATATTCAGCATGGTATTGTGAGACATTTAGAAAAACCTCAGTGGACTCCATTCTGTTTCAATGCAATCGACAACAGGACTGATGTGTGTTGTGTTAATGCAACAGGAGATATTAGCTTACATTTCTCTGGCAGTGACGGCCATCCTGGCTCGCACCATGTCCAAAGGGTAGGTGAGCATGGCAGCAGTGGTGCCGGCCAGAGAGCCCGCCAGGAACCGTGGGAAAGGAGGCAGAGCTCTGAAACAAACAACATCAATGATTAACATGAACTATTAACTATGTGATTAAATGTATAATTAACTCTACCACGTAACATAGCTTTTTTAGAACCAGGACTTCGAGCTATTCAATGTTTGTTCTTAAATCTGATTGGTCATTTTTGCAATGCACCAAATGCTAGCATTCTCATGATTGTAATGACTGCAGATATAACATTTACCCTTTCATCACTTTGTTAGCTAAGCATGTATGCATGTAAGCATGCTAACCTTATGACGATGAAAGTGATAGCATTTACCATGTTCATTTTTGAGTTAGCAAATTAGCATGCTTGCCTTCCAATGATGACAATGATAGCAGTTATAATATTAATCATGTTCACCACAATAGCTTGGCATGTTAGCCTGCTAGAATTTTCTGATTAGCACCAAGTACAAAACATGCTGTGGCAAATGGGAATGTCATTATCTTGGAGGTTTTTGGTCATTTTTTGAGCAAATGTTATTTCAACCTGATGATATAAAAAAAAAGTCAGAGGATCACAGTTATTACAGATGATCCTCCGGGGAGCATGAATGTCTATAATTTAATTGCAATGCATTTGTTTCTTTCAACTGATCGACCATACTGACATGTCAAGTGCTACACCACAATCATGGCTACGAAAAACCTCTCCATGTTGTTTTCATAAATAAAAATAAATAACTCGATTAAGTCATTACTGCTAAGACGAACTCTCTACTCACTTTCCCTGGTAGCCGTAGTAGTTTCCCAGTTGTCTCTTGTACTGATCATGGGAGCAGAACTGGATGGCAGCGTAGGGCATGACCCGAACCATGGTGGCAGAGTTTCCCCTCCACAGACTGAGCAGCCCATCCTTCATGTATGAACAGTAAATGAGCCTGAAGGCCTCCTGGGTACACAGTAAATATATTTATAAATACTTAGTATGTTGGTTAGGAGCAGTAGATT